CATGAGAGCTATTTTTTAATAGACGTTTGAAATGCCCACAAGAAATGTGCTCTAATAAATTTGTTGTGGGACTTTGAATAAATGGGCATAAAAAATTTAATTCACGTGTATTCGAGTGGAAATAGACATAATTATGAGCATAGAAACGCATTAAACCGATGGAGCAGAGGCAGAGAGCCCATTGCTTGAATCCTTCTGCGTCTGTGGACAAATACTCAGTAGATTTCGGGCTGCTTTTTACCCATTACCTATTATTGAGTAAAAGCACGTAGCGTCATGATTAACCAGTTTATTTTCTCTCGTATAATGACGGAGATTTGTGAATGTTACCTATTCACCTGTATCACCTGTAGTTTCGTTGATCGTCGAGTGACTCGAGCGCGCGCCAGCAAATCTTCCATTTTGCCCTGTCGCGTGCAAGAGTAGCTCAGTGGGCTCTGCTCGCTCTAGGGACTGGCCGGGCATCATATCCTTCTTCAAGGCTCTTTGTGAAGAACTCTGACCATCAGGTCGGTGGTCTTTCTGCAGTACGTTTTACATCCCGAAAAATCCAGTCACTAACAGCTTTTGTCCATCGGTTGTCATTCATACGCATTAGGTGTCCGGCCCACCTTATCTTCAAATGTTTGGCGTATAGAACGGCATCTTTAATTTTTGATCGTTGACGCAGGTCGGAGCTTCGAATCCTTCCTTTACTTGTGTGAAACAGGATACTCCTAGCATCGTCCTTTCGACGACTGTGCGTTCGATAACGCTGAGTGGTCTTTCATCCTGCTTACGCAGCGACCAGGTTTCTGTTGCATATGTTAGGGCAGGAAGTACCGTTGAGTCGAAAGGTAGACACGGAGTCGCGTATTCTTGGTTCTCTTCACGACATCCTCGACACTCTTGAAAGTTCTCCAAGCCGTTCGTTCTCTTTTGCTCAACCCTGGAGCTAAGTCGTTCAACATGTTGATTTCATGACCTAGTTAGAAACGATTGGAACATTCGGAGATATTTGTTCCGTTGAGCGTGAACGGGGCACACGAAACCAATCCGCTCTTCATGAACATCGTTTTTGTGAGATTTAGTCGAAGACCAATCTTTCCACAGGGTTTATCAAAGCCGTAAAGCATACGTTCCGCCTGGCTAATATTTGGTGTGATGAGGACGGTGTCATCAGCAAAGCGAGGACGGTGTAACTGCGGCCCATCGATTTTCACTCCCATGTTATCCTATTCCAACGTTCGCATGACGCCCTAAAAGGGTGGCGATAAATAACTTTGGCGAGATGGTATCGTCTTGCTTAACCCCTCTATAATGGTGATATCTTGGTTATGGAATTTTTGTACAGCTCACGAAGAATCTTTATGTATTGAGTAGGGACTCCTTGATTATCAAGGGCTTCCCAAACTGCTTCCAATCTCATCTGAATCAAAGTCGATGAAAGTGAGACAGAGCGGTCTTTTGTACTCTCGCGATACTTCAATGAGCCTTGTTATCGTGTGTATGTGGTCTATCGTACTAAATCCCTCTCGAAACCCTGCTTGCTCAAATGGCTGTCCTTCGTCCAGTGTTCTGTCAAACCTGTTCAGGGTGACTCAAGCGAAAACTTTGCAGATGACAGACAACAAGCAGATTGGGTGACAGTTGTCGACATCGTGGAGGTTAGCCTTCTTGAACATTAGAACGGTCTTGCTGGTCTTCCATTGAGTAGGGACCTTGTATTCAGATAGGTAACGTGTGAAGAGCCGAGCCAGTGTGTTTACGAGGACTGGCGGAAGGTTCTTCAGGTGTTCTGGCCTTATCCTGTCCGGACCTGGTGCTGTTCGATTTTTCACCGGCGAAATGGTACGTCGGATTTCGGAAGGGAGTACCCGTGGTACAACATATCAGTTCTCCTTTATTTCACATGACGGTAGGTGGACGTAGCTATCGAAAAGATCTGAGTAGTATTCGTGGATGATTTTCTCCATTACCTTTCTGGACACTGTAACTGCTCCGTCTGGGCGTCGGAGTGCAACAATCATAGTCTTGTAATTGGCGAAGCTTCGGTGGGCTTTTCGAATGCTTTTCCCAGCCTCTGCAGCTTCGACCATTGCTGCTGCTCTTCTCTCTTTAAGATCTTCTTTTATCGCCTATCTGAATTGTTTTGCAAGTTTGGGCGTTAGTTCGCGGTTACCTGTAGTTCGTGCGATTCCACACTGGCGTATCAGCTCAAGTGTTTCTGGAGACAGACGTCTCTTGGTAACTTTCGAACTCTCAGCTTTCATAGTGCTAACGTAAAGGTGTTGAACGAGCCGATCGTATTCTTCGTCGATGTTATCGATAACGGCATATTCCCACCAGTCGACTAATGAGTTGAATAATTCCCAATTTATAGTTGTTTTGGAATTTCATTTTTTCGTTTCGTTTTTTTGAATTTAGCGGCTTTTTCTTCTTTCTGCGAGAAAAGGAATCTTGCACGAAGGAGGCGGTGGTCTGATCCCGTGTAGAATATTGGGACAACAGCGGCATCGGTTAGGCAAAACCTTTTATTTACTATGATGTTGTCTATTTCGTTATGGAACTCTCCACTGGGAGTCTCCCACGTCCGGCGCTGAGGATGGGGCTTCTGGAATTGCGAGTTACCATGGATGGTCTTGGTCGCCATTGATAAACTGAGATCGCCGCTCACCATGTCCGTTGAATTCTAATCCATAGGTCGCAATGTGACGTTCTTCTTGGTCCAATCTTGGCGTTTGACCCTGGAAAATGTGTGGTCTACTCTGTAGAACTTCTCCATGTCCATATAGAACGCTTCGACTTTTTCTTCGTCATAGTTTGATGTTGGCGCGTAAACGACGAAGATTGTCAAAGCCGGTATTGATCCATATCTCTTCAATAGTAAACGTCCGATTCGGGTTGTAAGTTGTTCGAATGAATCGATGTTCATGGACAAACTCGTGTTGACGAGAACGCTTTCGCCGCTGTTCCCTCTACTGCCGCATGGTCCGAGGAGCAGTTCTTCTCCGGTGTCATAGCGTTGAGTGGGCGGCGTTGTCTCGTCTCGGCCAGGGTGATGACGTCGTTGCTTATCCTTCTCGCTTGCATGAGCAAGTGTATCGGGGACTCGGATGCAAGTTTACGTGCATTGTAGCTACATATCGTCACCTTAGTTCTTCGCGATCTAGGTAGCTTACAACGGCTCTGAGATTTTGACAGCCTCTCCGTACTCGTCCTACTCAATGCTACCGATTTGGGGGCTCTTTCGGGGTGAGGGAAATGAGGTCCGCTTCTTTTACTGTTTTTAGCTTTTTGATACTACGTATAGTTTGCTGGGCTCTGAACGTGGGGGCTGGGTATACTCACGGGTAGCTTGCCAGGCTCTCCCAGAGTGGACATGGAGCTTACTTGTTGGAGGCAACTCCTAACCGCCTCCTATATACTTCCCAGTCACTGGATTGCAGACTTTTGGCCCAATTGACTCATAGGATACAATCCGAATAAACTAGAACGCACCCACACCTGCATGCATGAATATACCTCGTAAATACAGAAAGTATGTGTCAAATTGGAGCAGCACAAGCAGGGAGTCCGTCTCTTGGATCCACCTGCGTCTCAGAGAAGCAGAGGTCATTTTGGTCCACGACTTACCCCTTATGAGCAACATAGCGACGCGTTACGTAGCCTCGCGGCTAACGGGCCATTGGGATCCCTCACATGAGAGAGATCCATGGAATCTGTTACCTGTTATACTTTATAAAAAGTTCGTCACTGTGCAAACAAGAGCGTCCAGAAAGTATCAAAAATTAAATTACCAGGCACTGCTGAAGATTTTTTGGACGTTTATCCAGCAAATATTTACACTGCACTGTTAATATTTTGAAAGAATAGATAACTTATGTATGCGCTCAATAGTTAGTATCCTGAGGTTTCTTTCGAGTGGAAATAACAGTGAAAGCGAATCATCATCATTTCTAACGTAACCAACGCATCAATGAAATAATGCAGTGGAAGCTTTTTGGTTTACGAGATTCGATGAACGAAGAAAAAGTACATCTTTTTTACAGATAGACAGATATCAAACAGTACTTGCTGTGTCTTGGCTTACACTGATCATACAATGAGATATCAGTTAGACTTATTTCAGACTTTAAATTATATTCGTTAGAAAATCAGCTGTGGGTTTGTGACCTCCTTAATAGAATGAAGATGATTCCTATCAAAGAAATGATCAACCAAAGAGCAGTGGCTGTGGGAATTACAAGGTAATCTTTGGTGATGCAGTCTCGGCCTCGAAGGCGACGGAGGACTGCCGCAACGCGCTTCTCGTCCGCATTAAGTCCAAAGTCTAAAAGTTCTTCCGAAGATCGGCTTTCTATTAACCTCGGCATTGGATTATAAATATTTCGATTTCTTCTTCTGCAATCGCGAGGTTGTTGTTCAGCACGCCTTTACGTCCATACAAATAGAACACATGCAACACAACGGTGGCTGACGTTTCGGCAGAATCGCCTTCTTCAGAGCCTGGAACGGTACACTAATACGCGACTTACTAGGTCAAATGCTTCAACAGTTCAAACAGAAAGATGAAAATCTGAACGATAATTACAAAGTCAACGACTTATCGAAAAACCCGTCGCTTTTTTCATCTGTCTTCCACCGAGGAAGAACAGGAGCTTAGAGTCGCATATGGCTGAGGACTGCCCCACCTCACATCAACGATCGATACGAAGGGGCAAGACCACGTATGATCTCGGGGCATTCTGTCCTGCTATTCATTGTAGGATTTTTGGCATTTATCCAAAAAGCCTCGAGTTTGCGCATTGGTGTTTTAGGATCCCGTGCGAGGGTAGCAGCTTTTACATCAAAATCGTCTCCGTTACGCTTTTGTATCTTATGCGTCACTAGTGGCGTACCTTACCTTTTGGATAAATGCCAAAAATTCTGCAATGAATAGCAGGGAAGAATGCCTCGAGCTCATCCGTGATCTCGCTCTGTACCTTCGCATCGATCGTCCATGTGGGGTGATGCAGTCGTCAGCCATATGCGACGCTGGCCTGCTGCTCTTCCTCAGTGAAGAGAAGTGGAAAAAGCGGTGGGTTTTTCGAGAAGCCGTTGGTCTTGTAATTATCGTTCAGATTTTCATCTTTCTGTTTGTGCTGTTGAAGCGTTTGACCTAATAAGTTGTATTAATGTACCTTTCCAGGCTCTGAAGAAGGCGATTCTACCGAAACGTCAGCCACCGTTGTTGCATGTGTTCTATTTGTATGGACGTAAAGGCGTGCTGAATAACAAAGTCTAAAAGTAATTTCACTAGGGTTCCTAGAGTCCATTATGTTAATCCTACCTACACTCACCTATTTGTGGATCCAGCACGTCGAACTGCTGGGCTCGAACGTCTAACTCTACCGAACCGTTTTGCAGCAACGGAAACTAAAATATACCCAAATGTCGAACGCATTACTCTAGCAGAAAGGCACTATAGTGGTTGATGTGAATCGATAGGTGTGAAAGATTCTCTAGATATGTTTTTCGTACAGTTTAAATGCATACTTTTATTTGCTGTCTATTGTTTTTTCCATCCAGGATTCGATGTGAAATACAACCATAAGGATACTGAGATGGAAGAAAAACTGGAACTTTTTTTTCCCAGACAAGTCCCAGTACCAATTTCCGGACCCCGGAGGAATGAGAGATTTGGTTGGCCCAGAGCGGAACCGTGCTGACATCACTACCTTTGTGCCATTTGCCCCTCTGACGTGATACACAGAAATAAGAATGCTAACATATGAGCAAAACTTGGAACTTCGTCACTCTGTTCCATAAGTGAACATTCTCGAGTGAAATATATCACTTATAAAGTCCAAGCGTACATTAAGGCATAGACATATGTGCTGCTGAAACCACTTAATCATTTTTTGCTATTGGTGGGTGATTGCTGATAGCACTGATAGTATTAGAGAACACGGCTGACAGAAAAGCAATGAAAGGGCATCGTTTAGTATGTTGGATAGCACGTGAGCACCGATAATAGTCGCGGACTCGAACCCCGATTGAGGCTTGAGGTTCCGAGTTTTGCTCATAATTCAACATCCTTGCTGTTAAGTGTAGCAATTCTGACACACTGGTGAGTACTGTCAGAAGTGGTTAAAGTTGAAGCTCGTAGAATCGTTTACATCGATCATAATTTCTTCTCTCTTTACTTGTTTCTAGTTAATTTTCAATACCTCGCGAATGTAGCCAGCTGACCGAGGTCGTAGTCGTTGCCGTTCAATTGGTTCTGCGCAGTTGGGTATCTGAAACGTGGTACCGTTTTAGTTAAAATCGATCTATGGAGCGGAAATCCTTTCACTTATGTTCTTTATATTAACGTGTTTGCATACTTTCACGTTTCCATCTTGAAGCCCAGTTAAGATTAAATCAATGCTAGGAATCACCACCGGCCTACTATCATGTCACATGGCGGCAAATCTCCACCTGATCCACAGGAGCGGCGATTTCTCGGAGTGGTGACGACCTGAGGAATACTTCGTCTAGACTGATCTTAGGAATCCAAGGAAACACATTGGCTGAATGAGCAAATTTGCTGCCTCAGTGCCCAGCACACTGAGCGCTCCCGTCCACGATGTCGGACGGTGAGAGAATCGGTAAGATGCGATCAAATCTCGAGTTGCACAGGACATCATGGGAAACGGACAAGACGAACCATGGAGACTGCTTACTGCTGTGTGGCTATAAAGCCAGAACAGTCTGTTTAGACGTCGATCTTTAGCTCTTCTTGAGGCAGCAAATCGCATTAAATTCTATGCGGTCGGCCTACGAGAAATGAAAAGCCGGAAGACCGACATGCGCAATTTAAATGACGGAACTCTTATCATTCGTGGAGGAAGATTCCCGTTACCAAATGTCGGAGGCGTTGGCTTTGTCGTGCACCCATCTACTTCCCATCAAGTCACCTCGTACGGAATCCTATCACCGCACTTGCTTATTCTTCTTCTGCGATTTGGATATCGAAAGAAAATCACTGTCATCGGCTGTTAATCATCAACTTGTACAACTGATGAGAGCGAACTGGATGCGATTTAGAACAAGTTGGAAAAAGTAATCCACAGCAAGAAGTTCTTCTATGGAGACATTGTTGGAGACTTCAACGCCAAATTAGGAGCGACCAACGAAAATGAATACAGAATAGGGAAATTCAGAATAGCAGGGCAAAATGAGAATGGAAACCGTCTTGTAGAAGTTCTATCTGAAGTATGTCTCTTCCATGGAAATTCGGTCTTCGGGAAGAAATAAAATAGCCGGTGGACATGAGAGTACCCTAACGACACGACTCATGCTGAAGTCGGTCAAATTATCACGAGCGGAAAACGGTGTCTCTTTGATACCACAGTGGTACCTGGATTCTGTACTGGATCTGATTGTCGCCTTCTTGGTTCGAAGATTCGACTCAACTATAGAATGAATTGTCATCGTCTAAGAAAAGCAGAACAAGTCGTGCATGATGATGATATTGTCAATAAATTCCTCTCATATGATAAGTGATGTTCTGATCAAGGACTATACGCTGCTTATCAAAGCACTAATCAAACTAGCCTCAGTTCCTTAAATAAGAACTTCAGACCACATCTCCACTACCAATAAGAAGTTGCTCTAGAAATGCTTGATCTTACTGTAACACACATAACAAAGCTGGTAATAAATTCGAGCTGTAGAAGATCTTTGCAGGAGGATTTATATAGGAATGGCTAGAAAGAGGTATTGGAAGCAGAGCCAAAGCGATCCATTCTGAAAAATGTTCTGCTATCCGCCCTGATGAACAAAAGTGATACTACCACTACATCCCACCATTCTATGGAATTGATAACGGAAAGTTTCTCTCCAAATTTTCCCTCTCCAGAATCCCCTTCTCGAATCCTGAAATTCCCGTTGGTAAAAAAACCGCACGGGATCCTATCCTCTGAAATTTAAGTTGTGACAGAAGACCTGAAATGAGGTACAGCTCCAGGACTCGATAATATCACTGTCGATTTTCTTAGGGCTACTTGCTACAAATTACATGCACTTCTCGTAACCCTCATAATATCCTACCTTCAGAAAGAGAAGGTCCCAGACCAATGGAGGACCTTGCATTGCGCACGGTCATCATACGTCATCATACCCAAAAAAGGTCACCGAATGGATCTTCGTAACTATAGTTCAATTTGTTTGTTCAGTGTATTCGACAAGCTGCGCACGAAGATCATCCTCTTGTACATATCGAAGACCTTTGATGTAGCGCAATCAGTTCAGCAAGCAGCGTTCCGATAGAGATTTTTGTGCATAGAATGCATTCAAATAGTGTCGAGGGTCATATAAATTTGTCGGGAATACTACCTATCCCTAATCCCGACTTTTGTTGATGTTTGTCAGCTGAAAACTAGTGCAATCTTATCAGCGCTCGTCGAACAAGGAGTGGACCCGTCTTATATACAAACACTAGCAGACTGTTATGGGAACTGCAGCACAAATATGCAATTCCTTCATCGATCCCTTACCATGCCTTTAGGGATTGAGGTTCGACAAGGTGGTACAATATCGCCAAACCTGTTTACTGATACATTGAAGTAGATAGTGAAGTCACTCATTTGGGAACACAAGGAACGTACTTATTGATGAGTAATTCCTGCCAAAACTTCGTTCGCGGGTTACATTGTTGTTGTCTTTTCGAAGAGTACTAGTGAAGCAGAGACGATGATCAATGAACTCAACGAAGCAGGAAAGAAGATTGGACCGCTCATGAATATGACGAAGATCAATTTCATGAAGAACCTATGGTGCGATGGCGAATAAATCGAATTGGATAGTTCCTCAAGTATAGAAACCACTGTTGTGCGTGTACCATTTGCGTTCAATGAGCATGGAGAACAACAGGAAGGAGAAATTAAATAGAAGAGGAAAAGCAGCACGGGCAGCATTCTGGCCACTTAAAGATACCAATAACCAACTAACGGACCCAGAACTCTGCACTCACTTTTCGAATCAGCAGTCCTCCCCGCGCTCTGTTACAGCAGAGACGTGTGTTGATACTTTAACAACATCAAGAAATCTGTGCGTTAGCCACAGAGAGCATCAACGGTGTCTTCTGAAATTTAGCCGGCCTTCATCACAACGTCTAGCCGGAATGCGCAGCTGAGATTTTTGAAGCCTATTCCACCTTCGTGATGGAGGAAAATGTGAATCGATAGTGAAAAATAGATGGGCCGGTCACATAATAATAAGAACAGATCACAGATGGACGAAAAGAGCAATGGAGGGACTTTAAGAGGATATAAGCGTCCTCTTGGAGAACCACGCAAACGATAGGCGGACGCTTCGTGACTAACTTCAACTACTGAATTTGCAGATGGCAACGATTTCAGGATAACGGAATGGGCCTGGCGGACTTCACTACATTCGAAACGGACAACCACTATAGACGACGACTGCGCGAGAGAAAAACGAAAAGAAATTATTCTGGAGCTCGCACAATCAGTGATGCAGGGATATCTCAGCATTTAAGCAAGTAAGTCAATCTATTCCGAACGGGTGCAGGTAGAGCAGTAGTTCTGGGCAGTTGTGTAGAACCACGGCCATGGTTCGACCTTGCACGGGTCCGACCTACTTGGCAGTGCCTCAGGAATTGGAAGGCTTCTTCCAAACGTGTGGGATCAATTGGCTGTCTTTAGTGCACAGAAGCGACTATTTGCCGCTGAAGTTCCAGGAATGGCTACGCTATCGGGTCATGCAAAGTAAAAATTAAGAAAGTATACCGAAACATTAGTATCGTCTTAAGCCTTACCGGGCATTCTCCATCACGAATGTCGATCCGTACGCTGCACTGGAAGTTTACCACCACCTGTACGATATTTATTTATAAGTAAAGGGAGAGAATCGTTCCTTTTTCTTAACAGTTTAGTGAAGTTTACAATGATTGGAATGGTGTAACGATTGAAATTCAAGCAAGCGATTATGAACTGGATCTGGGGTAGCGGACAAGTAATGCAACACTTCCATTTTTTAAAATATATTCCAGCAAAATTATTCCGATCTGCGATGAGATCACCACATTGAAATTCGGCCTTCATGTACAATCAAAGAATAAATGCTATTTTTCCAAGATTGCAGTGACTTCGAGTCAAATAAGTGTTTGAGTTCGAATTTGAGGTTTTCGAAATTGTCGAAGTACACTATGTCAGAATTCTTCAGACGTCAGAAAGCATTAAAATTATAGAGCACAGAGACCGAGCTTTGCATACGATATGAGGGTGGCACTCATCCGAGAGGAGCGAGATTATAGAGAATCATCGAAGCCATCGAGCGTTATTGCTGATGTGGAGTAATCGTTATGGTCGCTCGGCGCTTTTTGCAATCTTTGCTTCAATCAAAGGATGCAGCGTATGTCATATGGCAAAACACCCAGATCTCGCCTGTGTTCAACGGGTATAGCAATAGCGATTAGTAGATCAACATCCACGGGGGCAAGTTTGTGACGTTTAACCAATGTGAAATCGAAATGAATCCATAGCGTAGTACTGACGTAGTCCTGACTTCCGAGCACCAGCACCCTCTTGCACTTGATTCGGCAGCTCATCGTATTCAACGGAAGAGTACTAAGTCTGGCGTCCCTGAGCTTCTAAGGTTGTGTCATCGACAGCGAAGCACAAAAATCAGTGAAATTCGCTGGATCTCGTACCACATCACCCTATGTCTGATGTCAATGGTGACGATGCGCAGATAATATCATGCAGGAAGTCGTAATATTTTTTACATGAGCCGTCATCACATTTACCGTGCGGGTCTCTCTGCATTTAATGCATTCGATTCGTTTTCTGCGTGTTCATTGTTCATAATGGCCTTCGAACATTTCACTTCTTCATTCGCCTGCTGCTTGAGGATTTCATCTTCATTACGGATGTCTTAAAATGTAGGTCGAGTCGATTCTTCATGCATTGGATCGAACCCTTTGCTCTCTGATCATCGGCATTGCTAACCACAGCGCTATCCCTTCCCTATAATCGTTGTGAATAAATGCTTATTTGGTACTTGTAAGTTTGCTTTTCGCTCTTCGTTGTAAATGCTCGGATCCTTTTATAAACCCGGTGGGAGGCCAGGAATGTACTCCAATGAACTCCATCGCAGAAGTCTTCAGGGCGGCTTGAAATAGAAAAAAGGGTTTCTCTCATAATGGAGTGTTAATGCCCAGCCAAATTAATACTTAATAACATAAAGACGAGTTACTTTGTCGGCAAATTTGAATGCATGTGCTTCCTTTTGTGCCTGCAGCGCTCCTGGCCCATATTCGATGTTGTCTAGAAGGTATCGATCGATAGAACACCTGAAATGTGGGTAGCTTGAAAAATTTCACATATTATGGAAAGACGCTCCAAATGAATTGTCTTTCTGCAAAGCCACTCAGCATTATACGTTTCCGGAAATACTTTAGACTGTCTTCCTTTACATTTAATTCTAGTTCATTTCACTCTGATAAGAATTAACTTTTCTATCTACTTTATCTATCAGAATTTTTCACGGTAGAGTATTATTTGTGACACAACAACAATGATGTTGAGGTATTTGCAAAACTCCGGACCGCAGGTGTATGCGGTGGGGAACGAACACTTTATTACCCTTCCCGGGAGCTAACTCGTTCGCCACTACACCATGCGGGTCCTTCGCCTCGCCTGTCTCTCAGCTAGTTCTATCGATCAGTGCCATCAACAACCACCCGTTAACGAGATTTATCTGGGTTACCCTACTATAATTTTTCACGGTAGCGCTTGATGCAAAATACAACCACAATGATGCTGAATGCGAAATACAAGTAGGTAGCAAATAAAAGCTAGTATTGTGATTTCAACTACAGCCTCAGGTTAACTGGATTCAATGCCGATTTGGGCCCCCAGATCAATCCCGTTAATGGGTGATTGCTGATGGAAAGTGATCGATAGAACTAGCTGAGAGACAGGCGAAACGAAGGACCCACATGGTGTGGTGGTGAGCTCGTTACTCCCCGGAAAGGACAATAGTGCGCGTTCGTTCCCCACCGCATACACCTGCGGCCCGCAGCTTTGCAAATATCTCAGCACCATTGTGATTATATCTCTTAAGAGTGTTAAAATCACACAAGAGGGGTTTTTTCGAGAATTTAGAAATTGACAAGCAGAAATGAATAACGGTAAAGTTTTTAGAGTATAGTAGCACTGGAACTCATTTGCTACGAACGAGCCGAGCTCCTGGGTTTTTAAAGTTTTCGTAGGTCTCTTCATGGCAATATAGTTTTGATATTTTTTGACTTCTACTGTCTACCCCTTGTCATAAAGAAATCATACTGATCGCAATTATTCTAAGGGTCGAAATGCTGCTTTGATTATTTTGTTATATTAAAGTTCTCTATGGTACCCTCTCTCATCCAAGATTGAAAACGTCGTTCCGGCGTCGTCTTCAACATGACACGAGTGTACGGTCATGCACCAAAGATCTGAAATCCGTTACTGAATGAAGGACACGAAGATCAAGATGCTCATAAGAAATAGAGAATGCAACGATAAGTCAAAGGTTATTTCTGGTCGGCGGAATTTCTTCTGGGGTGGGTCATTCAGGCTGTGCAACTTAAGAGCTCCTAGTGCTCAAATCCTCCTTAAATAAAAGTTCAGCCATCTTCCTTTGCTTACTAGACAGTGAGACATAAAACTTACGTTTTGATAGAGGATGAAGTATAAGTCGTTCGGTGTTAACCATTTTTTTAGGAGTGCCTACACTCAATTAAACAATGTAGAGGTGAGTGAGCGCACGCTTGGCCTGAGCAGTGACTTAAGAGGCCGTATCCATGCTCAAGGTTAGTGTTCTTTTTTATCTTAACAGGCAAGAGTACTACCAGCTTGCTAACTCCGGAGCAATTAGGAGCTTGATTTGACCGAAGCTTGGAGTTAAACCAACGATAATGTGCAATGCCGGGTACCTCTAAGTACTGCCCTATACGCAAGATTACATTTTGATGCAGCTTTGATTTAACCTTTTTTCCGTTGTTTGGATGGCGGGTTATGATATGTTGGTTACTAAGATTGTTAATAAGCACACATACATGGTTGAACGTTTGAACGAATTTTTAAAGAATCGTTTTTATCGGTGTCGAATACACGTTTCCTTTTATTTGTTTTTATAGCGATTAGCTAGAATAATCTTGTCTTACCCGGAGTTGTGCTCTCGCATATCCACCGATGAAGCAGTTTGCTTCCAACGGTTACCACATCAGCGGTCTCCTTTGTTTGCGGGTTGATCACCTCATAACGACATCGAGGCATCTGGGCTAGTTCATTGAAACTGGCGACGGCCTATAAGTTGCAGATTTTCACCATTAAACAAGTTTCACTCCTGTAGACTCACGTAATATAAGAATGCAGCGCGCATATTCTATGTTTCTTCAAAATATTTGTGACCTTACAACAAATTTCTCCAGATATATACCTGTGTTGCTACTGTAATCGGATACGTGACCGTCTTGTCGCCTTGCATATAGAAGCAGCTGATTTCATAACCCTTTAATGAAGAACAATTTGCAAGCAATAAAAACTGAACTCAAATGTAAACTTCATTAAGCGACTAGTTTGATACGAGGACGGTGGTGGATCCTGTGTCAGTTTACTTCTAGCTGGGCTTCCTGATGGAAGCGCTGAACTCGTTCTCAGATTGGGGGTCTGCTAGGGGGATGAAGGTTTCTGCTGTAAATCTCAGCTCGACACCCAAGAACAGCTCTGAGCTACGATGAGGCAGTTGACCCTTTGAGAGTGGGTAATTAATATGGTATTTTTAATACCGTTCTGCGTTATCTTTGCTAGAAGTTCCCTCAAACTCTTTTATGGTTTTTTAACGCTTTTCACTTGACCAAGATGTGAACAATTCCGTCAAGAGCTACTATAAGTTGTGCTTCTAATACAAGTTTACTAAGACGAGATAAACGCTAATGTTGATTGCGATCTAGCAGGCATCATTCCTGTATGATCGGTAATTTTGTGCCGCACAATTTCTGTGGTAAACGTCAACACTCGTAAAGTTTCAAATAAAGACTCAAATCTGCCTTATCAAATAGCTAATGTTCCTTTGGCGCATCTGATCATCTATACACCAACTTTATGACGAACCGGTTACTGTCGAAAGGGTCTGTTGCTTGAAGCAATCATTTTCCGGCTGGGGCTACACTAAGTGTGATATGACTTTACTTGTAAGCATTGGGAAAATGTTGGCAAACTGGCATAATTCGTGGATTCAATGGACTATGGAGCAAAATGATATGAATTCCGGATAAAAGCATCGATAGCAAGAATGGAGCATACCTGCCACAGCTAAGCTTTATCCGATTTAAAGGTTATAATTGTAAAGATTGAAACGTCCTATTTACAGAACGTAATTAATTGCACAAAGTTATGTTATAGTTAGACAGAAACACTGCGCAAAATTTATGCTAAGATAGAGATTTCAACTGTTTCGACTTGACAAATTCGTGCACAGTACGGTCGTTACACTTTCTTTTGCTCCGACATTGTTTTCTAAAGTGATTCCTGCATTTGTTTTCACTGTGGAGAGGGTTATCAAATAATGGAATGAAGCTGGCGAGATACTTCGTTCCAATCAATTGTTTGCTGAGTTTTAGAATCATCAAAGCCTCATATTCTATTTTGGATATGCAGGAATTATCCTTCGAACAATTTTGCAACGCATCAAGCACGGCTTGTTTTTTTGTGTTCTTTACAAACGTTATATTGTTTTTACCGTCGTCCTAGTGTTACTAATAATAACGATGATAAAATAACGCTAGTTTCGTGATGCCGCTAACAAATGATCGTAAGTGCACGTAGATCATTAGGGCGCCTGTAGCGCAGCGGTCGGAGGCGCCTTGCAATACACACGTGGAATCGATACTCGCGCCCATGGATCGCCAAGCCTTCTATCCCTAAAGGGTCGACAAATTGGTACCGGACTTGTCTGGGAGGATAGCAGCACTGGCTCGATACATCTGTAGGCGACCGTGAGTCATTGTAAAGGATATATATCCATTCAGTCACCTCTAACGATGCTTGTGGAAGTCGATTGCATAGCGCATCCCTCAGGGATCGATCAATGCCGAAAGCTTTATTACTTTGCTTTCTACATGTAGATTCTCGTGGGTCCCAACTAGTAAACGCAATTATGAGCTGTGTGATATGAGGGTTTGAAGTTTGCGACTAGAAAAAAGGAATGACGAGAACGACCTATTCGATTTTTTGTACATCTCAAAAACATATTGCTGAAATAAAAGCAACATGATTCCATGAAACGGTTTCTGGATTCCTATGAATAGCAACAGCACCGATTCAATTCACTAGTACTGGTTTAGAAACAGTAACTCGATTTGGAGAGACTGTTTACTTCAACATGTGCTTACTATCTGAACGTAACAGAGTAGGGATTCAACCACAACGTTGCTGAGACATTTGCAAAACTCTGGACCGCAGGTGTCTATGGTGGGTAACGAACGCGCTATTATCCTTTCCGGGGAGTAACGCGTTCACCACCACACCATGCGGGTCCTTCGTTTC